CGGTTGGTGACGGCTTGGGGCGGGAGGCAGATGCTGCCTGTGTGATCGCGCGTAAGTACTCCGTTTCCAACCGGCATCTATACCGGCTCAAATAGCCTGTCTGAACGCACCCTTTGAAGCCCAACTCGTCATTTTTGATTATTTACTCGTCACTAGCCTGCAGTAACACTGTCCCATATTACAAGAATTCTGAGACTAGAAATGTTTTCCGATACAGGTTTATTCTGCACCAGTGCAGCATCCGTTGTTGTGCTTCCTTGAAATCGGGTTTGATATTTAGCAGTCTTGTCTTCAGGTTCGGTTCCTACGACCACTTAAAAATGCTTTGGGCCTTGTTGACTTTGCGTGACTTTCAGAGTTTTGGAGCTTTGGAGCGACCCTTGTGAATGCTTAGGCAGATGCTGCCTGTGTGATCGCGCGTAAGTACTCCGTTTCCAACCGGCATCTATACCGGCTCAAATAGCCTGTCTGATCGCACCCTTTGAAGCCCAACTCGTCATTTTTGATTATTTACTCGTCACTAGCCTGCAGTAACACTGTCCCATATTACAAGAATTCTGAGACTAGAAATGTTTTCCGATACAGGTTTATTCTGCACCAGTGCAGCATCCGTTATTGTGTCTCCTTGAAATTAGGTTTGATAATTAGCCGTCTTGTCTTCAGGTTCGGTTTCCACGACCACTTAAAAATGCTTTGGCCCTGTTGACTTTGTGTGACTTTCAGAGTTTTAGAGCTTTGGAGCGACCCTTGTGAATGCTTCCGTATCGTAACTTCTGGCACTGTGGATACTGTTACTTTTACTGGTGTGTTTGACTCCAAAGGCAGAAGTGGTAGTTTTCCTTCCCCCCCCAACCCGAAAAATACATTTGGAGACCTCTTAAAAACCATTGGCGTGGCCCGCAAAGGAACTACCATTTGAATGCACCATTGGATGGTCCAGAAGCCTCTTTCTGTCTGTCGCTTCCAAAAAAGTGTCAGAGTTTTGTGATTCGAAGGTTAATGAGCCCCTGATCTATTGTTCTAGTCAAGCCACCCCTTTGCATTGGAGGGGAGTAAATTATATATGATTAGTCCCAGTAGCACATGCTTAAGAAATGAAAAGTAATCAAGTAGCAACTTTTCCAATTAAAATTCTGTCAGGATTAACGTAAATTTGTCATTCCTAGCCTGTAATTCCCCCCGCCCCAATACATTTTCATTCCTTCAACTCTCGCTTGCCTGGCAAAGGAAAACGCTCCCTCGTATCAGAGATTCTCTCTCTCGCTCTCTCTTTTTAAGCCCAAAGAAATAAACAGGAGACTCTTTTTTTTAAGCCCAAAGAAATAAACAGGAGACAAATCTTTTTACAGCGCATGATCTGTAATGAATGATTAAGTAAAAACACTTTATGTGAAATTATGATGTTAATAATGCTTCCGTCCCGGCGAATTTATTACACGTACATTAGGCCGCTCACTTTGATTTTGATAAAACGGAGCAGTGACCGCGTGCGAGTGATGGTTTTTATTTTTAGAAACCTCTTTTGCGAGAGCACATTTCCCGGATACTGCTGCTACTGTAATTATGTACAAAACCAATCACTCATTATACTTAGGATACATTATCTTTGAGACAGATGAGGCTAAATAAGCAAGACATTAATAATTCATCCGGCAGTTCATTATGCATGTGTTTGCCTGCTTGGTAGCTGAAATAAGCACCTCATCAAACTGATGCCTGGGCTTAAACAATAGTTCTGCGTTATTGCCGCAGCACTCAAATTTACGCTTGTTAAACTGCTACTTGGGTTATTTTATCAAGCATTCATTTATTTTATTGGTTGCCATAAATAGATGGCTGGAGATCTTCGGGCACCTGACTTGGCCACGGGTGGATACTCTGTTCTGAACCGAGGCTGGATTATCCCAGACACGGAACGAACTAAAGAGCAGGACCCTGGCCAAACCGGAGCCCCTGCTGCTTATTGTAGCTGCCAGCGTTAATCTGCCATTTACTTTGTTTCCGTATGATACTGCACATGCGCTCACAAATCTGTGTGCCTGGTAACAGCGGGACTGGAGCACTGGCCGCCATGAGAAACAGCCGCTGCGTGTGACACTTAAGCCCCAGGGTGGCAGGCTGCGGGGTGGGGGGGGGTAGCCTTCTCTGCCTTGACTGTTGTCTTGGGGGCTAGACTAAAAGACTTCTACAGCCCCTCTGAATGCCTGGATTTGATAACACCCTAAAATAACTCAATTACTTCACTCAATATATCAGAAGAAGAGATGGGATTTATACCCTGCCCTTCACTCGGAGTCTCAGAGCAGCTTACAAACTCCTTTCCCTTCCCCTCCCCACAACAGACACCCTGTGAGGTAGGTGGGGCTGAGAGAGCTCTTTCAAGAACTGTCCTTGAGAGAACAGCTCTGACAGAACTATGGCTTGCCCAAGGTCAGGGCTATTTGGGGGCAGGAACGGCGTTCCAGCTGGCTTCAGAGTTGACCACGCCCACTACAGCCAAAACCTCTGTGTTCCTGGCTACAGAGGGAAGGCCTGGAGAGCAACTCCCCCCACGGTGACTCCGAGGCGGGCCGGCCAGGGGGCCCCCTGGAAGGATCGGGGAGGCATTTAAATGCCTCCCCGTGCCTTCCCCAGCCTGTCCAAGGGCTGACTTGCCCAGGCAAGCCAAGGGAATGCACGGGGGTGTGTGTGGCCTAATATGCTAATGAGTTCCTGCTGTTGGGTGTGGCCTATTATGCTCATGAGTTCCTGCTGGGCCTTTTCTACAAAAAAAACCCTGCCCGAGGTCATCCAGCAGCTGCGAGGAGTGGGGGAATCAAACCGGGTTCTCCCAGATTAGAGTCCGTGCACTTAACGACTACAAACCACTACACCAAAGAGTGGGGGAAAGTCCTCATCCAAACTCCATTTGTCCCTGTGTGTGTTTATATATGTAGGATCCCGCATGGACCCCACTGAAATAAATGGAGATTGCTTTGTGAGTTGCCCTTGAAATCTGGCCCGTAGCTACAGTGGGGCTATTGGGGCTCCGCCCCCTTCCTTAAAGGGCCAGCCCCACACGATGTTTTTGAGAATAACTTTTGGGGGGGGAGAAGAATGGGGGGATCCTTTAAATGCTTTTGAGAAGAAGCAGGGGGTGGCTCGGGCCCCTCTCGCTTCCCTCGCTTCCCCTCCTGGAAGATTTAAAGCAGGGGTGTCGAACTCATTTGCCATGAGGGCCAGATCTGACATAAATGAGACCTTGTTATTTATTATTTATTTATTTATTTCATTGCATTTATACCTCACCCTTCCCGCAAACGGGCTCAAGGCGGCTTACACGAGCACAAAGTGCATACAATACATAAAATAGATAAAAGCAGTTAAAATTCAATTCCATCAGGATGCAAGAATAGAGAACTCCCCACATTTTGCATAGCAGAGGGGAGGGTTAAGGCCACAATTGGATGTTACACTGTCCTCCGGCGGTGTCACTCTATGGTGGAGCGGTGGTGGTAATAGCAGTGGCGGCCATGGGTTGGGCCAGGCCATGTGTGTCATAAAATGTAATGCCAGGTAGCCGAGATGTAAACTTTATAAAGGACACAAACACGAAGATTTCTTTTTTACTTAAAATAAAAACATGCTTAAAACATTAGCTCTGTAAGCTGCAAACCTACGTTTGATCTATTGACATTGACCACAGAAATCTCATGCTCAGAGTTCTGAGTCTAGGACCCAGGTTAAAACATGAAATGGGCTGAGCGACTCAGAGAGTCTGGCGAAGCAAGCGATGATGCAGCAGCAGCAGCAGAACTGGAAGCAGGAGATGGCCAATTTCACTCTGGGCCTAATCCGGCCCCCGGGCTGCATGTTTGACACCCTGATTTAAAGGGCCCTCCGCCAATCAGCTGCTCCCCGCCAATCAGCTGAAGGGCCCTTTAAATCTTGCAGGAGGGGAAGGGAGAGGGGTGGCCTCCGGCGGTTGGGCTTGGGGGCAGATTGGAGCTGACGTATAAACAATAGCAGCCCCACCAGAAATTTGTTTGCCCCACAAGCCACAAAATCCTATGGGCCTGCTTGAAATGACTTGGCAGATATCAAGCGCAGCAGTTTGGGGAAAAAACGGTTGGCCCTTTTCCACCATCAGTTTCTGCAAGAAGCAGAACACCGTTTCGCTTACACGTTATTATTTACCTCTTTATTGAAGCTGTACAATCAATAGCCCTTTGCTAAGAAATAAAAGGTGAGAAAACACATCTCGGGCTGAAACTGCGTATCGATTTGAGCGTTTTGCTTCAGATTCCTGCCAGTGCCCACACCGTTAAGGAAACAATTATTTCAAGAGTTCCCAGGTTCTGGGACCACGCTTATGGAGGTAGCTCTGAAAAATTAAATGAATAGCCAATTCTAATGTAATACTTCCCCGTTCCAGGGGAATCGCTTCTCAGAGTGCCAGACCTTGCGTCAGGGGAGGCCTTTAGTGAAAGCCAAATCGTAGAGGAATGTTCGCACGATGTTGTAATTTCAGAACAATTGGGTCAGGGGGAGAGTTGGGTTAAAAGCTCCGCTCTGCCATGATGTTCGTTGGGTGGTACTGGACTCTAACCTACCTCACAGGGGGTTATAAGGGGGGGGGAATGGGGCGGCCCCCATGAAAGCAATAGTGAGTTCCTACTTGGAAGAAGGATGGACTATAGAGGTGGTGTCAGAGCAATCCCACCCTTGAGCTTTCCCCCCAAGCAGGGCTCTAAGCAGAGGTCATTTCCTGCGGGAGCACACAGGAGCGGAGCTCTGGCAGTAAGGAGCCCAGGGGGTGGGCACATGCAACAAGCCCCGCCTCCTGCTCCCAGCAGCCCTCAGTTGGGCCATGAGAAGCAAGAAGCAGCCAGGTAAGTTGCAGAGCCCCCCCCCGGTCCCCCGTCCAAAACAGTCCAGTGGCACCTTTAAGACCAAGTTTTATTCAGGTACAAGCTCTCCCTCCTCTGTGAGGGCAGATCTGCACGTTCCCCCTCCCCCCCATAGCTAGCAATCCAAAACAGTCCAGTGGCACCTTCAAGACCAAGTTTTATTCAGGTACAAGCTCTCCCTCCTCTGTGAGGACAGATCTGCACGTCCCCCCGCCCAATAGCTAGCAATCCAAAACCGTCCAGTGGAGCCTGAGCGGTGGGTGTTGCCTTCTGACACACTTCTGGTGATGTCGGGGGTGTGGCGTATGCAAAGAAGTTATGCTAATGAGTTATGCTAATGAGCTCCTGCACCTCTTTGTCTACAAAATGACCCCTGGCTCTAAATCAAACTTTGTGGAGAGTCTCTCCCTCTCAAGAGCCAGTTTGGTGTAGTGGTTAAGAGCGTGGACTCTAATGTGGGAGAACCGGGTTTGATTCCCCACTCTTCCACTCACAGCTGCTAGATGACCTTATTTATTTATTGTCAGATTATACCCCGCCCTCCCCACAAAGCAGGCTCAGGGCGGCTTCCAATGACATAAATACATGATAAAAACATACATAATACAAATTAAAACATAACAGTTAAAATTAATACCTTGGGCAAGCCATAGTTCTGTCAGAGCTGTTCTTTCATGAGCAGTCCTCGAGAGAGCTCTCTCAGCCACACCGACCTCCCAGGGTGTCTGTTGTAGGGAGGGGAAGGGAAAGGAGTTTGTAAGCCACTCTGAGACTCCTTCTGGTAGTGAAGGGCGGGGTATAAATCCAATCCTCCTCCTCCTTCAAACTTTCAAACAGCACAAAGGTCTCAAAGAATAATCTGATTTGCTTCATAGTCACGTTGAAATAAAGTGATCGGTGTTAAGTTGTCTGTGTTCTCCTAGTGGCTCCAGAGCTTTTGGATTATGCATGACACGGTTTCAAGTTTCTCTTAAAATTGAGGGGAGATCCCTGTTTTAAGGATACAGATAGTTATTCGTTTTAGCAGTAATGCAAAGTACCCTCTGTTCTTTCTGTCAAAGCCAGACAGGGCCAGTTCATGTGACTGTAGACCTGTCAGGGTAATGCAATCTTGTACGTGAAGTGAGCTTAAACAGCAGAGGAGGAGGAGGATGTTGGATTTATACCCCGCCCTTCACTACCCGGAGGAGTCTCAGAGTGGCTCACAATCTCCTTTCCCTTCCCCTCCCCACCACAGACACCCTGTGAGCTTGTCCGTAGCGGGGATTTTGTAATTCAGGAGGCCTTTAAATAAGTCAGGGGCAATGCTCCCTCTAAGCTGTGGAGTCTTGTGAGCAAAAATTCTACTTTGTGAGCTACTGGCATTGAAGTTGTGAGCGGGCAATTTTGCTGCTGCATAAATCAGTTTGCTCTGGACTGGAGCCCTCCTCCCTGAGCTAAGACAAAAATCTGTGAGCTGGAAGCTAAAAAACTCTGAGCTAGCTCACACCAAGTCAGTTTAGAGGGAACACTGGACTCGGGGTCATGATGTCACAAAATAAAAAATTAAAATTAAAATTTTAAAAACTCATTTTTGTGGTGTTCGCACTCGGCTTGCCCACGGGGGGAAGCAAGCCACGCTTGGGGAAGGGACAGTGATGGGTAGTCCTCCAGGTGGCCCAAAGAGTCGGGGGTCCTTTGGGTGGC